GATTGCCAATAACTTGCGACTAAGGGACTTACCATTAATAGCTCTATCTCAGTCACAGGATGTGCTCTGAGGTAGGGTACGTACATACGGACGGGTATCACACAATAGAGCTACCAAGAACGGGCCCCATGCTGACAAGTTATTGGCATTTTCCGTACAAACACCAGGGACGATCATCATTGAAGATTTTACCACGCACCTTTCCTACTAGACCCGTTACTGGAATGGAACCAGCAGGCGCTGCTTAACACATAAAATGAAGCGTATTTGCAGTCCCAGGACTCTCCAAGAAACTATTACTACCAGAATTTCTACCAGAATTGCTACCATCTTGCGACTAAAATTGCTACCATCTGGTGGTAGCAAGATGGTAGCAATTCTAGTCAAAATCTGGTAGCTACCATTTTACTACCATAAATATTTTCCATAATAATTAGATTCTCTTAGCCCCCTCCCAAAAGTTTCAGTCGCCGTATTCGTTAGAATGAGTCGTACTCAAGAGGGGGCTGGGAGATTAAGAAAAAAATTCTGGTAGCGATGCATATATTTTGGTAGCGTTTGTGGTAGCAATCTGGTAGCAAGATGGAAGCAAGATGGTAGCAATTCTAGTCAGATTTTGGTTACTGGTAAGAATACCGGATTGCTACCATAAATCCTACMAGATTCTGGTAGCTGTTTTGGTAACGCCAGCAAGTTACCATTCTTATTGCCAGCAGACTATTGCCTGGTAGCATGCCCGGCGTGGTAAAATAGTCAATGATGATCGTCCCAGTAGAAAAATTTAGCTCATTTTTAAAGCTCCAGGGCAGTTGAATGTGCAAGCTGGTGTGATTTCCCCATCAGGGGCAAGACAAAGACACTGTGTACATATATGCTGTATTTCCATCCATTGTAATACTCTACACTTTCCATTGCCCAATTTGATGATGTCTGGTGCAACTCAATCTTCAGTCCATCTGCAGCAGCACCCCAGACCCTCTCTGGTGGTGGTAGTAGTAGTAGTAATGATAGTAGTAGTAGTAGTAAAACAACAAGAAGAAGAAGGCATGGTCGTGGTGGGTATTGTTCACTGATTGCTGCAATATAAGCATTGACCTCCTCTCTGACAGGAGTTCTGACTGTGGTATCTGGATGGTGGTCTTGCAAGACAAAGAGGAGAACACACGGCATGGAGAACTTCTTGGTCCACTTCTTGTACATTACACATGAATACAAGCAAAAAGTGAGCTGATCGCCGACTACAAGTAGTGCGGTACGAACGCTGTACTTTACTTCTACTTGATTTTGTACTGGTACCTACGCAAATGAACAGTAAGTACTCGTACTTCCGTGACGGTGCATTGATTTCTTCAGAAAAAAATACAGTACCATGTACAGTACTTCTACTACTACGATACCGTACATATGGACGTATCTTTTCAGAAACTGATGTCTCCTGAAGTACTCGTACCGAAGCACGGCAATCGAACTCACGGTACGACTTGACTCGTAATTGATGATTATGTTGCATCATCATACGACGGGTAACAGGTCAACAGTTTTCAGTATCGAAAACCATCGTAGTTCTAATAATGAAAGATCCTTTAACCCATTGATAATCTAGAAGAACAAGGTGTTACAAACACAATCGTCCATTGTCCAATCAAAATGGAAAACATGTCCCTTACCTTTCCTAGGCAATTGTCGGATTCAAGGCTAGGAGAAAAACACGAAACTTTGGATGATTTCCATCGATGTACATCCAGAACCAATGTTCAAGAATCGAAGGAATACACGCTGGTTGTGGTAACTGAAACATTTCCGAAAGCAGAAACACAAGCACCTACAACAAACGACAAAATAGACAAAGAGATTCCCCAACCAACCATCTCGTCTCAAGCAGAGAATACACGAATCCTTTTGGGTATGAAAAATCGGGGCTTTGGTTGTGGATACTATAACTCGTTTGGAGGAAAATTTCTCAACGACGAGGAAACTGCAGAGGCATGTGCTTGCCGAGAATTGGAAGAAGAAACCAATCTCAAGGTGGGTTTGGACGAGATGGCAAAGTCGAAAGTTGGGATACAACGTTACACCTTTGAAAATCACCCTACGGAAATGGTCATGCATGTCTTTTGGATACATTTGGAGGAAACTTTGGCATATAAAGGTGGCTGTCACGATGTGAGAGAGTGCGACGAAATTACACCAATGTGGTTTGATAACATCAACGCGATTCCTTTCGATAACATGTTTGCAGATGATTCGTTGTGGCTAACGACGCTGTTATCTTCGCCTTTGCCCATTGAAATAAATGGGTCTTATCATTTTCAAGAAAATTGTCAAGACACCAACACTATTTTGCATTACCACATGGACGTTCAAAAGAAGAAACCAAAGTTTTCGATGGAGCAGAGACTTTTTCACACTCTACACAAGAACCACAGTAACCTACTTTCAATCAAAGAATTTAAAGAATGCTACGCCTTTTGCAACGGTGTTCGTACAACCTTTGGCAGGAACAAAAATAAAAAAATTAGCTTTGACATTGTGATTGATGTGGCGGGAGGTCATGGAGCTCTGGGTGCTCTGTTTTTGATTTGTACTTCGGCTTCTAAAGCAATAGTACTAGATCCTGCAAATGTTGGCGGCGGGAGAATTCAGCAAGCGTGGGGGAAATTTATGGGCCAGGACAAGCAATTGAGTTATCGACGAGAGTGTCTTAGAACAGGTTTGCCAGACGAGCTCAAACAAGCATTGCAGATGACAACTCGATACCGGATCCTCGTCGTAGCGTGCCATGCTTGCCAACACTTATCGGAAGAAATTCTAGAAATCGCTTGTCGTTTTGGTGTTCATGCTGCTGTAATGCCTTGTTGTCAAAAGGATCGCTCCGTTGGTTCAACATGGAAGGCTGCCAGCAAAAATTTATCAATTCCTGTAGCCAAGATGATGGACATTTTACAATGCGGGAAGATGATGGCTTTGGGGTCACACAACGTTCGCTTGAAATGCATCGATTCTAAAATCACACCTCAAAATAGAATCATAGGTAAGTTTCGTAGTTCGTTGTGCTTTCTAGCTCACATTTCTGATATTGAATTCTTTGCACTCAATCAACAACACGCATGGGGTTTCTCTCAACTCAGTTTGCAGAGCTCTCGACGAGAATGAAATAATCGAATCTCGTCGCCATTCACAAACTGAAGTGGACAGGGCACATTCAAAATTGGAACTAGTCTACCAAAAGGCGCATACGGTGCCTGGTTCCGTACATGAATCGAAGAAAATGCCGAACTTCAAAAATTTCGCTGCGCAATCTCCGGTGTGGTACATGGCTGCTGGTTTCGTAGCTGGATTTTTAGCTTCATCTGTTCGAAAAAAATAAAATTTGCTTTCATTTTGATTTTGTTGAGGCGTCGCCTTTTAATACTTTTCCTGGCCTTTAAGTACTACGCTCAATCTATTTCCATTCAACGAAACATCTTATTCCCCTTCACCCCACTTTTATCCCAATCCACCTACTGCACCGAACAAATGAATAAAATATTGCGACACTATCATGCTGCTGGTAAATACAATGACTGAAGTATCATATCTACATCATCATCTTCAACTGAGCGAACAAGTACTTCTATGGAACCTTCGCAACAGGCATCATTATCAAGGAGTTTCGTAGCATGGATCGATGTAACCTGTCGATCATCCTCGTAAAGAATCCCGTTCATCGAATCAAATACAAACTTTGTAAGGTTGTCCACATCTGTACGGATCGATGATAACTGAGATGGAGCATTCTTTTTCAATCGGTCAGGACCAGGCCTACTATTCACAAAATGACTTTTCGGACGTTTCATTCGAAAGATTATTGTTACCGCCAAGTGCTCAGTTGCGCCAAAGAATGGGGTTTCAATGGTTTGACCATATTTGTTCGATATTAATTCTTCGAAAGCATCAAGAAAGGATCTCTGGTATTTGATAGATGGGTTATACATATGTCCTCTTGACGTACGATGCCGTTGCAAAGGACGGGGATGCCCACGAATTTTGAAACGGATACTTGAAATTCGTCTTGCACTGCTTTCTTCTTTGTGGTCTCGGTATGCGACCCCGAAAGCGTCCCGGCTGTCTTCATCTATCCAATACCATGGCTCACCCTTGCCTCTGTCGGGGATTGAAGGTTGGCTACTTTTTGACTTCCGGTCGACAGCATTCATAGCAACGTACTTGAAAGAGGACGAAGCAACGGTAGCGATATCTTCACCCGCACCTTTCGATTTTTTTTTTTTCGGCAATAACAACGGCTCATGACATCTGATAGTAGTGAACGCTGTCACCAGGTTTGTGGCAGAGTAACCTAAGGAGAGGAACAAAGGAAATATGGCTGTAGGCAACCGCATCGTCGTTTAATTTTCCGCCGAATGGGAACGAATTCAGGGATCTGTTACAGGATCGATCGACGTTGATCTCTTCGATCTCCTCCGGTAAACGAAGCGTTCAATCCAAGATTGAAACGAAGTTCGACAGACACAATACAGTATGTCTAATAATCGTCGAGTAATTAGTGTGAGGGGGTAATCGTCTGGTAATCAGGACGGGAGCCGTAGGAAATGGAGCAACTATCGCGCGTTTGCGCGCATCTTGAATAATAAATGACGCATGTGATCTGCCATTACCAATTTTGATTGGCTGATTCTATTTAATAGATGACGTTGGTCCTCGTTCTTTCATCCTAATTAATATTTCAATTCTCTATTTATTCTCTATTTATTCCCGTTTTATTCCCGATTTATTCTCGATCTATTATATTTTCGTTGTGTTGGCCGAGAATAAAAAGTGAATAAATTGWGTGTATCAAGAATTGAGGTAGAATATTGGAGTGGCTCTGCTCTTGCAGCAAGAGCAGCGAAGACCCTTTCACTGAATYGTAAAGCTCACAAGATCAACAACAGTATCAGCATGATTACTAGTACTACTACGCTAAGMACACAATCACCAGCAGCAACAACAAGCAGAAAGCAAAAGCTGAGCTAACGAAGAATCGTCTCATAATGTTCTTGAAACCATCATGYCRAGAACATCCGGTGCACTCAATAGAAACGYRAAGAAGCCTCCAGAAGTAGAATACRAACAGCAACAGCTTGTAAACAAGCTCATTTGCTATAACTTTTATATTCACTTGCAAACGCAAGGAGCAATTGGTTGGAACAGCGATCCATCAAAGAAACCAGTACCTGCATCAGTAGAGCACTATCGAAGCTCCCAATATATTCTTGAATCTCTATCGGAGAACCAGTTCAAGCATCGAGCAAAGGTATGATCTTCCCCTTGTCCTTTTCTCTCTCCTGCTGCTGCTGTTGTCTTGTCTCTAACGACGCTTGTTGTTGGTGGTGCTGTTGTTCCCTCCTCAGTCGATGTCGACACTTGCAAAGAAACTTGCAGCAAAAGGAATCACTCTAGAAGCCCCCCAAATCCCCATTGTAAGAACAAAACAAGAAGTCRTCAAAGAAGAAAAGAAACAGATGTCGACTACAAAATCAATCCTCAAAACACCACCGGTAGCAAAGAAGAAGGCTACTGTAAGAGCTCCATCCTCGGGGGCTTCATCAGTAGCGTCCTCACCGGGAGTGGATAATTTGTTTGCAAACCTTTCGCTTGATGATGCTTGCACCTTTCAAACTGCACAAGGCTTTCTTGCTTACTCTCATATCTCTGGACGCTGGATGGATTTTGATTTCAACACCGAGGACAAGGAAGGATTTGTTCTTCTCAGGCTTCTTCTCCATAACGGCATCCAGGAGGAAGACTTTGAGTTTGAATGGATGGACAACCACACCTTTATGGTCAAGCTCAAGTGGCCAACCTTCATGAAGAAGGTGTTGATGATGACGAGCTTGGACATGATTCAAGTTGGGACTGATGCTGAAGGGAATCCTATYGTTACTGAACGYTTCCCCAAGTCCCATAAGGTCACTGGTAGTATGGGTGAGAATGCTGCTGGACTCAAGGATGAAAAGGGAGATATCTGGAATGTTGGAAACTTCTCCTTCAAGAAGCCCATGAAGACTGGTGATGACGACTATGAGATCAAAGTCTTCAATAATATCACATGCGACAAGCATGGGAATAAGGTGACCATCCTCCAAGTTGTCTTGAAAGAAGAACCGGAGGAGCTGAAGCAAAAGGTCAAGACCCCTTTGAAGGTGAATATGGTCAATGCTCCCTCCCTTCAATTCAGTAAGTTGTCAACAACAACATTGACTGGTGCTGGTGGTGCCAAGAAGTCTGCCRGTGGTGGTAGTAATCGACGACGCAGTCGTCCCTTGTCTGCTGTTGTGGCAACAACAGGAGGAGCAGACGACGAGTATGGGCCTCCTGCAAATAAGAAAAAGAAAACACTCACCACTGCTGATTCGTCTCCTCCTCCTGCTGCTGCTGCTTCATCGTCTTCTTCTTCTCAGGCTGAGGCCCTTCTGCCTTCTCCTTCTCTTTGACTAGGATACTACAAGAGCAGCAGCGCCTTGTCATYGGACTCAAGCAGTATCTCATCAGATGATACTAGTGTTGATCCAATCAAGACACTGATGGAAGCCAAGGAATATCTAGATGACCTCGAGGAATATTTACGTAATATGAACCACAACAACAATTAGTAATTAGTTTTATGAACCGACGTGTGATTTCTTAGTAATACTACCACTAGACTACTACTAGTAGTACTAGTAGTACTCTAGCGTGGGGCGCTTGTCCGCTCCTCCTCCTGCTGCTGCCACCACAGCAGACGAGGGATGACTGCGTTGTCGATTACTATCACCAGCAACAGACTTCTTTGCATTGTCACCTGGGGCGCTCGTCGAGGGACGACTGTTACTAGTACCACCAGCAGCAGACTTCTTTGCACCACCACCAGCAGTCTCGTCATCTTAGTCTAGTACTACTACTAGAAATAGCTTGCATTGTAGTCAACGTCGTAAATGGATTCACCGGCAAGGAATTTCAGCTGTGTAATTATGGCAACAGCATTGAAACACTTGCCATGCTTTGCCATCATCTCATTCCTTGGACTGGTATGTCTGAAGTGAGTTGTCAGCACATTGAATTGCTTCAGTCTACCATTTACATTCTCATGTCTTCCTCTGACAACACTCTTTTCTTTCCRGATCTCTGGAGTYATTCCCATCCRAGGCGTTTTCATCTTTGAATCTCCTTTGTATCCCCCATCCACTTCAACTCCTTCATCTTTGCAGAGCAAATGAGTCAATTTCTCCCTGAACATGACTCCATCGTTAGTGCTTGCAACGTAGGGACCATTGACCCAAACAATATGTCCAGTCRCAATACAAACACCAACCTCATATGTCAAGCCCGGTCCATTCATTTTCTTTGAGTAGTACTTCTTATCAAATGGCCAGGGTTCGAATATTGGGCAATGTGTTCCATCTACTGAGATGAGGCAAGTGGCGCTTGTTTTCTTTCCAAGGCCATTGAATCGGTTTTCTAAATCAATAATGCGATCCTTTAACCTATTTATTTTTGTAATAAAGAACCAGGCCCATTTCCGGAACGTTGTCTTTGAAGGCCATCCAACGMGGGAGGTGAGAACCTCTTCTGAGGAGTAGACCTTGAGGAAAACAARTGCATACAACAAGTGCTTACAATCGACTTCACTCTTTTCCTTTTCAGTGAGGGCTTCCTCCCAGATGAGGTTCCAAATGTTTGCAATCACCTCACTCGGAGCTCCAAAAAACGCTCGTATTCGCTTGTCTTTGTCGTTTGAGTACCACTTCCTTCCTTGTGGCCATTGAATTGTGTCCCTGATGACTTCTTCAATCGATTTCGCTGATAGCCTCATTGTCGCTTCTTCTTATTGTTGTGTAGTAGTAATAATGAGCTGATGTTGCTTGTTTTGGTGCTGCAAGCTCTTGCTTGTTGCTGCTGCTGCTGCTACGACACCACGATGCTTCATTTAAAGACAACACAAAAAAAACCAGGAATCGATCGAGAATAGATCGAGAATAAATCGTGAAATCTATTTCCAAAGTATTCTACGTCTATTCCCAATTTATTCTCGATCTATTCTCGATCAATTCTCGGCCAATATTTGTTAATCATCTATTTTTTAGACGTCATCATGACATCTGTTAAATAGAATCAGCCAATCAAAATTGGTAATGGCAGATCACATGCGTCAGTTATTCAAGATGCGCGCATGCGCGCGATAGTTGCTGCATTCAATCCAAGATTGAAACGAAGTTCAACAGACACAATACAGTATGTCTAATAATCGTCGAGTAATTAGTGTGAGGGGGTAATCGTCTGGTAATCAGGACGGTAATCAGGCCAGTAATCAGGCCATGCAGAAAAAATAATTTAAAATGTGGGCATGGGTTCTTCTCCTAGTAGAGTTACTAAGTACAATTCCCGTGCTGGCAAGTTATTGGCATTCCCCGTACAAATACTAATAGAAATTTTTACCTCATTTTTACAGTTAAAACCAGTTAAAAAAGGCATCCAACGGACAAAAATAAAAATATTTCCATTGTTTAATTTCTTGCTAGTCCCAAAATATTTCATAAGCTCTGATTTTGTATCCGCAGTAGCAAGGATCACTAATAGAAATATTTAGGGACTTCGTGGTTTTTTTGTGCGGAGGGGGGGGAGAGGGGAAATAAAGACAGGAAAATAAAAAAAATTGACACTCAGGAAATTGCCTTTAACTTGCCAGCACTGGAATTGTACTTAAGAGCTCCTCTATCTCCTACTAGGGTGAGAGCGAGGTATGTACCAGCGAATCCCTTAGGAGAAGAACCCATGGGCACATTTTAAATTATTTTTTCTGCATGGCCTGATTACTGGCCTGATTACCGTCCTGATTACCAGATGATTACCGAGTAATCAACATGAGGCCGAAACCGAGGGACGAGGATGAGACCGATGTTGATTACTCCTCTAATAACTCACTGAAGTTGTGTCTGAATCCGAGGGATGAGGAATGAAGACACAACTGAAGATGAGTTACTTTAAGCCCTCAGAATAATTGACTCGACAATTATTGACATAATAGACTGGTTGCTCAGTTTCTTTGCCAAGTACTAACCAGGTCCGGGGGGGGAGGGGGATCTGCCAATATGGAGCGTTGCTGATATTGGAGCGTCAGATGCTCACTGATATGGAGGAGCATTGCTGATACAGAGGACGCTCACTGATACAGAGGATGCTGGTGATACGGAGGCTGCTCGCTGATACGGAGGAGCGTTGCTCATATGGAGGACGCTCACTGATATGAGGAGTCGCTGATGCAACTCGCTGATGCGAGTCACTGATACGGAGGGTGCTGATACAGAGGACAATGCTGATACAGAGTGTCGCTGATACGGAGTAGCCCTTTGATGCAAAAACTCAATTAATTATTATTCTGGTACAAATTTGTCCTAGAATGCTACGGCAAAATTGGGAATCAATGCACTGTACTGCTAATTTTTGCTGCTTTTTCTGTTTATCATCTGCTGTTAATTACTACTACTACTACTGTACTTTGTTGCATACTAGCAATTAGCACACTGAAAATATTAGTTGAAAGTAGCAATTGATTTGATTACTACTTCTCTGTCCATGCGAGCAAACTTGATTCCAACAGCTGCCAGTAGGATTTGTACAGCTGCTC